CATTGAAATTCTGACCAATCAGGAGCAGCTTTCTCACACAAGGCATTTGATCTGGTCCGCTTGTAAAACTCTAGGTCTGAAAGCACCCTGAGACAAAGCTGACTTTTGGTTTCACAGGACACAAACAGCTGTCTCCCGGGTGAACATCCTTAGTTTGTTTGACCCATCCATCACCCCCATCCAAACACTCCTTACCAATGTCACAGAGGCCGCAATACTTTTGCAGGTTTCTGGGAAAGCTGTTTAACACAACAGAACTGTAGTGCTTTACAGCGAGCAGGTCCTCTGGAGGCCTTGCTTAAGGGCACGTTCACCGTACAAACTGTAACTAAGAAATACTTTGCTTACTCTGAAATCCAATTTTGTCTCCAGTTTTACTGTCTTTAGTCAGCTGACAAAGAAAAAACACTGAGCAGTCTGTACCTGCCGTGGGCACTGTATTCAACAATTCATCTGAAAATGTAAAAGACACTGGCGAGTAAATTGGGTTCTTTACTTTTAAAAAAAGCAGTGAGTTACCACACTTCTGCTCTTTAGATAAAGCCTCGGCTGACAGGGTGTAAAATCAGCAAAAACAGCAGTACTTACAAACATAGTAGCATACACTCAGTGTGACTAGGAGCTAAGTTACTAGAAGCTTCGTAGTCACAGACGTAATATTAGTAAAATTTTGCAGCAACCAACCATCAACTATATGAAACACTGGGCACTCATGGTTAACTTGGACACACTGATGGTATACTGAGGGCTCCTGCCTCCCTAGCCAATCCACAGAGCTAATGCAATCTAATCAAATGAGATTGATACACCAGTTCCAAATTAGCATGACCTAGAGCACCTTAGCCTCTTAGCGTCTTTTTTTCCGCACAGAAAAACAACACTAGGACTGATTAGGGACAGCAAGAGACTTGGACATCAGCCATTTGGAAGATAAAGTCATGGACGAGGAGGCCTGAAACTAAACAAACTTACTCTTCTGGAAAAGTTAACTCTTTTAAGGAAAGTTGGACTAAGGTTAAAAAAAAGAAGTCAAACTGTTTTAACAGTAAAAAATAGATCTGCACTCGTAGTTGCTCCCAGTTGATGTTGTCAACTGTTTTTTGAGCAATAAACAAGACCATGTCTACAGGCAGAGTCAAGGGATTACCAAACAGATTATAGTTCTTCTGGAGAGGAACAAAAGTGCCAGATTTCACAGCCTTTTGTCAAAAGTTGAGTGAGTTAAAATCTAACTCATAAATGCCAACCTGAAGATAGTGCTGGAAAAAAATTCTGAAGATTTATGACATTTAAAAACGGCATGGCTTACTTTGAAAGCTGCAGTAGTAACATTTAGTTTTTTAACACTGGATTAAGTCTGACGTGTTGTGTGAAAGAGGTCACTCATACAGAAGAACAGTCAGAGAAAGGCACCCAGCTTTCTCAGGCATCTGTTTTCAGACAATAATCTCTGATACACCTACCTGACCAGCTGTAACCGGTGGACATTCAAATCTAGCAACATGCTAGTTAAGACAGTGGAACACGTAGCAGCCTTAGAGCCAGATATGTCTCTAATGTAAAAGTTTAGTTTGGGCTTACATTCATCAGATGCGCAGAAACTAATGTTGCTCTGCAGGCTGATCTCATGCACTGTTTGTTTGTATAACTACGAAAAGTAATGCAGCAGATAATCCACGTAATCATGAAGGCTGCTATCACATGACAAATGCACTGATGAGAGTAAATAATGAAGCGGTATAAAGAACCAAAGCTGACATACCAAGGCAGGTTGGGGTGGTGGATGGGTCAAACGAACACACAACTTTCCCCCAGGAGACCAGTGTTTGTGTCCTGTGTGAAACCAAGCTCACTTTGAGTTATGTTATGGTAAATCCTCATGTTATATTACAGATTAGGCAAGCATGTAGCCTGACACCGCCCAACCATGTTTCTTTGCCTAAACCTAACCTGCATAACTAAAGGTATAACGGTTCACATAATCCACAGTTCGCTTCAATAAGACACAGTGGTGTCACATTTCAGTATGTTTAAATACTGCAAAAGCACAGAAATGCTAGAGAAATTTGGTAGGTTTTAATTTTTTACTATTATTATTATTTAGCATCATGCAGTATGATCTTTTTTGATGATGGAGCTGTACATGAGTGACCCGTTTTCTAGGGTGTCTTCTTAGCAGTGTATAAAACAAAAGCAGCTCTTTATAAAATGTTAAATGTAGTCGGCTATTGTAGTTATAAACAAATAAAAATGAAAGAAACTTTTCTGTTTCTGAAATGCCAAATTTTATTTTTATGTTTTAAAACTAACATAATTTGGGCTACCATCACCCTTTATAATTCACAGTACAACCAAAGTGGCTCCAAACACCAGACCTATAAGTTTCTGGAGGATCTTTTGTTTCTGGTTTGGCAATGGCGTTACTAACCATATTGCAATGAGCTAGCTTAGCGCAGCGTGTGTACAGATGTTACTCACAGAAGTAGAATGTTTTGGTTTAGGGGTGGGAGGGTCAGACAGCATGTTGTCTGTGACATCATGTGGGCTGCCTTGTTGCGCGCAGTCACACTGAGAACATTATATTTCACACAATTTAAGCTGCATATTTTATTTTCCAGATGTTAAAGGATGAGTTCAATGAATCATGCAGTTTCTAATTCTTACCGAACCAAAGGCCTCGTACCAAACAGTCCAATACAAATATGTGTATTGTTACATCCCTATACGTAACTTTACTTTCCTAATCCTGACCTACATAACTTCACATTAAGTATGTAACATGATGGCGCTTAACTACGATTCTTCTCCTAAACCTAAACTAACCAGTAGGGGTCTTATTTGGTTGAGCACCAATAGAGTGCTCCAGGGTTGACGTTTTTAACATCACACTGTTTCCCTCATCAAAAAGCCTTTGGGATTGGATTTTGGATTATTGCCAGAATAAGCTCTATGGCAAACAAACGTTCATGATACTTAAACGTGTTGTTCAACAAGCAAATGAACACCACTTTCATGATTACTGAAGCCTAAATTTAATCACCAGAAGTAAAAACTAACGTTAGGTTATAAACCAACTACACTATGGTTGCATGACCTAAAGTCACCACCATAACAAGACTGTAGAGACAGTTCGGTGTGATGACGTTCTGCAGTCTCATTTAGACACTGCCTTTTTTAAGGCATATAGAACTACAAAGTTCATGAGTGGGGTATTTGCTGATGTGTTTTAAGTCGTAGAACAAAACATTAAAGTCTCTTAAACTTGGGTTAACCACAGACCTTATTTCTGGTACCTAACCAGAAACCCATTAAAAACCGCACTGACTTTAAGACGAGGGAACCGTGAGTGGTAAAATGCTAACTCATTTACCAAAGATGTGTTAAAAGCAATGCGATTTTACTGAAAGCAAGAAACATTTACGTTAGAATGATAAATCCAACTGTTAATGTGATTCACATGCTGCCCAAATTAGGCTTGCCTAGTCTTACAAATGCATTGCCTTCCATTACTAACTTAAAGGGCCACTGTGTAAAATGGGTTGAAAACCGTTGAAAACAGTGACATCAGTGGTCAAATTCTAGATTGCAGGGCTCACTCGCTCACCCCTCCCGTCGGGTAAATGACGGTGGCCTCGTAGGGACAAAAAGCCTTGCGCAGACACTTTTTTTTCAGGAGTAGGTCTATCTAGCGACGAGGTGAATGTTTATTTAGAAATCTACATGTTACGATATTGTAATGAATCCCTCATGAGCAGGAGACCAGAGTAGCGTTCGGGAAAAAGGCCTGTTTATTTGAGCACTCCAAAAACTCCGGTAACACTCCAGGGGGTAAAAGACTCCGTCCCAAACTCTGACTCTTCTAGCGTAACACACACACTCCATACACACATTCTCGTTTACAGTACCTAGCAGGCACCCCCCCGCTCCACCAATCTCCAGCCCGCACACTGACTGACAGCGTAGCCTGTAAACAGAGCTCAGCTGTTTATTTAGCCTAGCAATATCTCCGGACTATAGTAGCTGCAATGGACGACTTTGAACGCGATTTTGAAGAGTTTCTTGTAGCGGACACAAATCCAGAGCCATACCTGTTTGAGCCGGAGCATACAGATGAGGAACTCCATGTGTTTGATGCTGAGCGGGCGAGAAGAGAGGCTGAATGCACAGAATGGGATTCGGTGCTACTGCTACCATCGTTGGGGAGATATATCATCAGGAGGAAAAGCGCCGCAGAGAGTGCATCACAAGGAGTGAAGTTGCGTCTTCTTTTCCTCGCAGATGACGGTTCGGGTTCATTCTCTCCTGTTGCGTGGTAAGTGTGGTCCATTCGCAAACTTTATAACTAAAAAAACTTTTCACTACTCTCTATCGACGAACTACTAACACTCTCTGCTGTTTCCTCCTCCTTCTTCCTTCCTTCCGCTGTCTTCGTTGGTTCATTTATACACGCGAAACGCGTTCTCTGGCTGGCTGGATTGTCCGCTCGGTCTGCCGTACATACATGGCGGCGCAAGATGGCGACCTCTCTAAAGCAAGGCCCTTGCTATATATATATATATAAAAGCATAATTATAAGGCTACGAAAACTAAACAAATTTTATTTTATAGCAATTATACACGTATATAAACATATTAATGAGTAGAATATTCAGATTCAGATTCAGATTTGACAATAAACGATGCCAAATATTACACACTGGCCCTTTAATATTAATTGCTGATGTAATGCTTTTTTTTTCAACAGTGTCAATATGCTGTATACCACACTACTGGAACGCACTTTTAATTTATATGTTGGAATTTTGAGTGCTGAATTTGGCCTAGACCCACATTTAGATTGAAACCTAATTAACTCCAAGAGGAAACCCCACCAACCTAATACCGTAGTAATCCTGAGGCCACACTAATCGCTTGTGACATACGCAGACTGGAGCTTTGGGATTCCACAGGCTTATAAAAAAGACCTAAGAGTATGAGGTGTCTATTTCAAGTGTGGCCACTCCATCGTGGAGTACATACCCAAAGCTTTAAGGACTATGGACTGTTGAATAACAAGCCAGCCATGGGGCAGACACAGCAAACGGAGAACACTGAGCAAATTGATGTCAAAGCAATTCAGGAAATGTACAAAAAGTTTGTCATGGAGTGTCCGAGTGGACTACTTTTCCTGCACGAGTTCAAGCGCTTCTTCGGTGTGGACCCATCAGGGGAAGCGTCGGATTATGCGGAGAACATGTTCCGAGCTTTTGACAGAAATGGGGTGAGAGAGTAAAAGCTGTTACAGCCTGGCATAGTGTACGTACATCTTTACCCAAATGTGAAAATGTGACCCAATGTGTTCTCATTCAACCTGCCTTTCAGGACAATACGATTGATTTCCTTGAGTTTGTGGCAGCGCTTAATCTTGTTTTTCGGGGAGACCTGGAGCATAAACTGCGGTGGTCATTCAAGGTGTATGACAAAGACGGCAATGGCTATGTGGACAGGGATGAACTACGGTCGATAATTGATGTAAGTCTACCTATAAGTCAACCACAATGAAATGTCTCATGGGTTTTGGATGCAACTTCAATTCTGAGCTTGAAACAGGGTTTTTCCCTTGAGTAAATTCCTCTTTTAGAGAATGGCATTAAGTTTCAAGTCCAAACTTAAGCAACAGCTCTTAGCAGCTCAGCGTATCATAAGGCTTTAAACATCTTCACCTAGCATACTATGTTTTCTCCTACCGCTCAGCTCTGCAGAACAGACTGTGGACTTGTCATGTCTCTACCCTCTTGCTCTCCTGTGTTCACTGTCACTTAACTTTTGGCACCTAACAGTACTTTTTAGCTGAATTAATTACTTAGAGTTTGAATTAAAAGAAAAAAACTTAATAGGCCTTGTTCACAGCAGACATTTTGATTGTCTTAGCAGAGAAAGAACATGTCACTAATAACACCGACAATGGTTCTGTCAAGTGTCCCCTTAAGCCAACGTGAACAGTACCAGGACCCTGAAACTGAAGCAGCCATCATTCATTTGATTACATACACCTGTTCTTTTGACATGTTAATCTGATTTAATCAAATGAACATTTCTAATTGATGCAGTTGGATTTGGCCTCGAGTAAATGCATCTTCAACTATTTCATTCTCACCTCTGCTCACATATACTATACCTAGGGAGTTCTCAAGCTACAGCAGATTAAGACAGAAGAAAGAAGGAGCATTATTCCTCAAGAAAAATATATGCACTTAATCTATGGACCAGTCTTATCCTTTGTAGGCATACAGTGATTATAGGTACACAAAGCATTAAGGATATATTCTGTTTTAATGGACATCGTATATCGGACATAATACGCAATCTTTAAGTGACCATGCCAGTGTTAGAATTTTCTTGTTGAGTTGGTGACATCATTTTAATATCAATCTGATAGCTGGTTAGACGTGTAATAGTTAATGTGCGAACACGCAATCTGGTGGAGCAGCCAGTTATCTAAACCGTGATGTCTCGTGTTCAAGAACCGAAATATTCACTCTGTTTCTCTGCTGGATTCCAATATCTAAAGTTGGATATTATAATATGCCCACATGGAAAGGAGGATGTACATTCATTTCCCCCATACCAGTTTTTAAATGTGTTTGAATCTCTACCGTTTCTTGAATTAGTTACTCTTTATTTAAAGCAAAACATAATCCTGGTTTGAAGACTGTCAATGCTGTCTTTGAAATCATATTGACAGTTAAATCAAGCAAGATAAACCTTTTTCAAAAAATATGTGTTAAGAAATTCATAAGAATGCTCAAGATGGTTAAATATGATCCAGATTTAAAGGCATCAACTGCTGTATAAAGCCAAAGGGAACATAATGCTGCAGTAAATATGTCAAATTATCCAGTTACATCACTGCTCTAAACTAATTTTATGCATCATCACTGAGTGCAGCAGCTTATGCTCTAAAGGTCTTTGATACAGTAACATTTCCTGCTATTGACATGAAATATATCATTTCCTTTTCTTTTGTTCCATCCAGAGCATCTATCGGATAAAAAAAGGCTCAAAGACAGATGCACATGATGCACAGCTCACGGTCGATGAAGCTGTGGATCGACTATTACAGGCCGTCGACAGCGATGGAGATGGTGAGCGTTTAGTCACATTTACCGTGCAGTGAAAGCACTTTTGCAGTGATGACAGACAGAAGTGATACTTTGTTGTATCAACAGAGAATCCTGATGAATCCTGCTTTGACTGTTTGTCTACAGGTCATATTAACCTGGAGGAGTTCATTAGGGGCGCACAGCAGGACCCCTGGGTGCTCAACATGTTGAAGCTGGACATGAACCCTGCTGGATGGGTGCTGGAGCAGAGGAGAAGGAGCGCACACTTCTGAAGTGTCAGAGCACAAAGGCCTTTCCCACATGGACAAAGAGACAACACTCATGGCTAAAATGCAGGATATGAATTACATACAGAAAAATATATTTAACACACATTCTACAGCTAAAAGTAGGATTCATTTTGAATACTTTCAGCATATGCAGTTTCATATTCATAGATGGTGAAGGTTCACAACTGGCCATCATTTGGCTTTTAATAAAGGAACAATAGCACTTTAAGTCAATGTGAGACTGTAACCAACAGTATAAACATACAGAGACGTTCTTATTTCTTTGCATACATTATTTTTTTTCTTTCCACAATTTCACTATATTAATGGTTCGTCTTATATTATCTTTAAATACTACTAAAGCTACATTTTTGTATGATTTGAAGCAGGTGCATATACACAGTATATTGCTGCTAACTCAGCCTTCTTGTTAAAAAGTGTAAATATGTAAATAGTGAGTAATGATAATGTCTGCTTTTCTACTGTTTCTACTTTACTGTTGTTAAACGAAGGTTTAAAAACTTATGAATCAACTCCAATAAAAAACATAAAGTCATTGACGTGTCCTGCTTTCTCCAGCTGTACAAAGGTGAGCTATCTTTTTCTTTTCCCAAAGGAGACAGATCTGTAATTCATGCTCAACGTTTTCTTAAAAGTGTTTTACAACCTATTCACTTCTAGCTTCATGAGACCTGGAGGAAAATGGTTTATTATTATTATTATTATTGTTATGTTTTTTTTTTTTAAGATTTTTTTTGGGCATTTTTAAGCCTTTAATCGATAGGACAGATGAGCGTGAAGGGGGGAGAGAGAGAGGGAGTGACATGCAGCACAGGGCCACAGGCTGGAGTCGCCTTGTACATGGGGCACCTGCTCTACCACTAAGCCACCGACGCCTGGAAAATGGTTTATTATTATCATCAGTAGTAGTAGTAGAATCATTAGTATCATTATTATTACAAATTTTAAATTATTGGGATAAAAGAAACATATTACTTTTTTTTATAACATGTCCCTGTAGTGGACACTGGGTCAGTCTTTACCACAAAAAGTAAATTACAGGAAAGTGCATTTATATTACGTGTTTAAAATGTAATATTACAGGTACCCTGCATGCTTTTAACTAGTTGAACATAGTGTGTATGTGTGCATGTGCATGTGTGTGTCTTTACATGAGAGAAATTATTTATGTCAGACTCTTCCCCACTTCTCCAGAGTATGGAATCTGGTTGAAAATAATAAAATACATTGGTTAAAATGTGCACTTTGTAAGGCTTAAACTCAGCATACACGTCTAAAATCTAAATATAACATAGATAAGACTCTCATAAATAAAAACAGCATCCTTATGAAGAACAGAAACAATACATCTTTATAAATCACATGACTTATATGCCTTACTGCCATAAAGCAGAAGACAGAAGCATATTGGATGCATATTACATCACTAGAAAGTCCAGGATATGCTTTCCACAGTATCTGAGACTCATACACTGCATGTCAAGTGTTTGAAATGAAGGTTTCAGTTTCAGTTTCAGGACAACCATCAATTGCTGGGTTCTCAGAACGCCAGAACCTCATGAGGTACAGAGAACATCTTCTGTGCCACCATCAACCTGCACTCAGTCAGTGGCACGGCCCCTTCCTCCCTGTCGGTCAGGCCCATAAACCCCTGGGATTTAGCCACTGAGTTATTTTAGCTTTACAGGTTTAGCGGAGTGTCATTTTAGTTATCCTGCAGATTAGTAACGCTTACTGAGGCAAACTGTGGTCCCATCATGAAGACACATCTGAGTCAAAACTGAAGATGAAACACTTAGATATCATCAAATACATATCCTGTGCTTTGTGGCGTAATTTTGTTTGAATCAGTACAAAGAAATCCATACAAGTGTTGCAGTCTTCTTACATTTTAAGCGATAAAACTGAATTGTATATAAATGTAAAATCTAGGATACAGTCCCAATGAGTGATCACATAGCCCCCCCCCCCACCCCACCCCCTTTTTGTTTTACAGAATACATTTTGACACATCACAGTAAAACTAATGGCTTTAGCTCAATCCCCTTACGCACACATAAACAAACAAACAAGCTAAGAAGTTAAGTTGAAGTACTTAGTAAAGCATCTGACAAAACAGAGCAAAGGTGGTTAAACATTTCTTTGTTGTACAAGTGAACTAAAACAGAAGCCAATAGACTGTAACCTGACAACCCCCACAGCTACAGGGATTTAATTTATACTGTACACTAATGTTACAATACCAGGATTGTAAACTTCCATAAAATACTAGTAAAAAGAAAAAAAATGTGAAACCTCTTTCAGAGCCACAGCAAAGTGAAAACAGTCTTAAGCACACAAAATAGATTTAAAAAAAATTAACAACCTGCACAAAGTGCTGGTGCAGAAAAAAAATCACTGAACATACGTAATAAAATGGTCTTAGGTTGAAAATCTGACTGTAGAGTCATTCAATCCTCCTTCATTCATTTTCCATAACCGTTTCTCCTGTTGGGGTCGCGGGGCGCTGGAGTCTATCCAGTTGACATTGGGTGAGAGGCAGGGTTCACTCTGGACAGGTCACCAGACTATCACAGGCAACCATTCACACTCACATTCACACCTACGTGCAATTTACTTACTTATTTATGCCTTACACCCTTTCTGGGCTGTAGGCCGTCGACAAGGGACCTCCAGAGTACCCGATCGCCAGGTGTATCCCATTTTCTTGGTGTCTGCCTGCAGATCCCTTCGCCAGGTGTTTCTTGGCCGACTTCTCTTTTTCTTCCCCTGAGGATTCCACATCAGAGAGCGTGGCCGATCCATTTCCATCTTCTTCGTCCAATTTCATCTTTAGCTGGTATTTGCTGTGTCTTCGTCCAAACATCTTCGTTGGTGATCTTGTCTGGCCAATGGATTTTCAAGATTCTTCTCAGGCACCTGTTTATGAAGCTTTGTACTTTGCTAGCTGTGTTATTTAGCACCACAACTCAAAGCAGAGGTAGACGAGCAGCTCCCATGTTGTGTGAGGTAAAAACAGTGTTTTGTCATAAAGACAGCAATTTAACAGTTTAGTTCTCCATCGGAAAGGGCTGTCTGACAGAAAGGTCAAGAGGTGAAAATATTACACTGACTATCAAAAAGCACCTTGTACTTACACTCATTCATTTTCTGTAACCGCTTATCCTGTTGGGGGTCACATTGGGGTTGGAGCCTATTCCAGCTGACACTGGGGGTGGGATTCACCCGGGACAGGTCACCAGACAACCATCCACACCAACGGCCAACTTAGAGTCACCAATTAACCTGCATGTCTTTGGACTTTTGGAGGAAGAACCTGGAGAAAACCCTGCTGACACAGGAACAGCGTGCAGGGGTGGTCCCACACCCTGGGATTCGACCCCCCACCCCAGGTTCAAACCAGGAACCCTCTTGCTGTGAGGTGACAATGCTAACCACTGCACCACTGTGCCGCCCAGCCTCTGATTGTTGATCTCTTTTTTTTAATAGCTTCAGTACTGATACTATAAAATGTATAATTACAGTTTTTCTCATTTGCTTAAACACATTTGTCCATTCAGAAGCTACATTCAATACAGTTCACATACAGGCCTAAAGTAAATGTCTGTGGCCACAATGACACATCTTGCAAAATGCTCTAACACTCACAAAACACTAAAAACATACAACAAAGGCAAATAACTCCATCAATCAACACAACTACATTCTTTCCCAACTGCTTAATGAAACTGTGATCACCTCCTCATCATCACCTTGTTAGCACAGCAGACGTCCTCTCTGATGTGTTAAACTTTTTCTATTGCTTTCACACATTTTTCACACCCCTTTTCACCACAGTTAACACAGATCTCTTAGAAAGATCGAGAACTTTGTTGGATTAACTGTGTTACAAAATATATTCTTTCCAACAATGGACAAAAGAAGACAAAATACAGCTATCAATATGAAGCAGTTCAATCTTAATTTGTGCTACCCTGCTGAACTCTGCACCTTGAATGTTTTACACTTTTTTTAAGATGCCCTGGTGAAATGCTGTACAAAATATCATCATTTTTACATGCCTTTGGTCTCTTGGTGTCTTTTATAGATAGATAATGACTGATTGCTGATTGAAGAGTTGCTCAAAGGAGTTTCACACAGGTGGATCAGAGATTCGTAATTTCTATCAGCTATCAATAAATGTTCTCCTTTTGTTTAAGACATTCAAACCAGAAGAGTTTTGTGTTTTCTATGAGATCTGTGTTAACTATTTTGAAAAAGGGTGTGAAAAACTGTTAACACATTTGCAAGAGGAGACTTCTGCTGTGCTAAGAAGGTGATGATGAAAATCAAGTGGATTCAAGTTCCCTTGAGTGTGTCCTCAAATCTTGGAACGCATACTGTACTGTTTTAAACACGTAGTATCAAAGTACTGATACTTTTGACAACCTTACTTTACATACACACAGGAAAAGCCCCTCTGGTCACTGTGCGTAGGAGTTTCCATTTTACTTCGTAATAGCTTGAGGAGTATCAGTGACCCTGGGTCACTAAGGGTTCAAGATGGGATCAGGCATATGGATTACTGCTTTGAAGGCAGCTTGCCAAAGACTTTGTCTAAAAATAAGTTTCTTGCTGGGGTCAAGCATGACATGAATCAGTAATTACACTCCACTCAGTCCTCGCCCCCTGAGCTGTTCAGGAGACCTTCAGCAGCAGCCATGAAGTCGACACTGAACTCTCCGTTGCAGGCAGTCTTTAGGAAATGACTTCACTGAAGTGTCTGTATTTATTTATCTTTCATACAAAATAAGAGTTCAGACTTTGTACTGCAGTGGTGGGATCTGGATTTAGCATGGGTCAGAATCAGCAAATACAGACACAGGATGACACAGAACTGGAGACAAACACCATCCACGACCTGTACAAGTCTTTCATCATGGAGTGCCCGAGTGGATCTTTGTACCTGCACGAGTTCAAGAGGATGTTTGGAGTACAAAACGGCACGCCTGAGTCACAGTACATGGACAGCATCTTTCGAGCATTTGACATGAACCATGTGAGTTACAAAGCTGCTTTAAAGTAAAACTAAAGGAAAACTGCATGTGTCTTTGTATTTATAAAAAGCAAATTCTTTATTTCAATCTGCCCAAGCATACTCTCACTGTAACTGTTCCCTGTTTACAGGACAACACAATGGATTTTATAGAGTATGTGGCAGCACTTAATCTTGTCCTGCGTGGAAAACTTGAGGACAAGCTGCGGTGGTCGTTCAAGGTGTTTGACAATGATGACAACGGCCGACTAGACAAAGACGAACTACGAAAGATTGTCAAGGTAAAAAGATTGTATTTCATTATAACAATGGCAGCACTGTGGTGCAGTGGTTAGCACTGTTGCTTCACAGCAAGAGGATTAAGGATTCAAATCCACTGGTCGGGGGCATTTCTGTGTTTGCATGTTCTCCACGTGTCAGTGTGGGTTTCCTCCAGGTTCTCCGGCTCACACAGTCCCAAGTCCAGGTTCATCTGTGACCCTAAA